TTGGTTTTAAATTGTTAAATTTTCCACACTTTAACATGTTTCGCCTTGTATGGAAACATGTAAATTCAAAACACAATTTAATATTCTGATCAGAACACTTGCAGACATGAATATTTTTCTATTTCAGAACATTATATCACTTAAAGAAGATCTGGAGGTGCTCAAATGTGATCTTTTATGCTGGAATTGGAACATAAACGCTGCGGGAGTTATTTATAGATTGAAGAATGATTTATACGGCATATTTAAGAATGAGCATAGCATCGAGGAGATAGTAAATAATTACTACGTAAATCTACAAAGAAACAACAATAGCTCAAATGATACCGTATACACAAATATTTCATAAATAAGAATCGTTTAGTATTAAATGATATATTAGAATTAAATGTTGACTGTGCAGTGTCTGCATATTAGCAGCAATCAACTTAACTATGTTCTTAAGTATACCTATGTATATAGGTAGCTTTTTTTAATAATAAACTACAATAGCTGTGATTTTGCACGTATTAGGGCTACAAAGTAAAAGCGTCACGAAAATTGCCTATCATCAACAAAGCATTTTGATTTTATCGACCACTATTTCATAAGCATTCATAAAAGTATGCGATAATCGTCCCATAAAAATTTGTAGCGAAGATATGTACATATCGCTCGGAAGACCGTCATAATCAGTAAGAATCGAGCTCAGAGGACATTTCACAACAATATCAGACCCAAAAAATTAGAATTTGTATTTCTTACAATTTTACTCGTTTCCACATTTTTTAGCTACTATAGTGATGGAGCCTGACTAAGGGCCTGTTACTCAATGTCTGGTTAACACTAATCTGCGGTTAAACATCGTTATCGACGTCTTCGACTCCATGCATACACCATGTTGTATGCATGGAGCCGAACACGTCGATAATGATGTTTAAACGGAGATTAGTGTTAACCATACATTGAGTAAACGGCCCTTAAAGTCATACATATATGCATTTATATGCTTTGAAAGAAACTTAGCAAACCATACAAAAAAAAATCGGTACTTTTTTCCCATTGGAATTATAAAATCTATTATATTTTAAGACGTCCACCAAAATATTAAGATTTACGTGAGCTGGTCCGATTTGAAAATACCTCTAAAAAAGGAGTTTTTTATGAATAAAAATAGTTCCTTAAACATTTTTTTTTTTTTAAAAATCCCCTCAAATGACAAAATGGTTTAAGGTTAAAAAATTTGCATAAAAATATTTAAACAAAATTTTAACGGAATCGTAATAATACGATGCTGTTTTTTTAACTTTTTCCAAAGATTGGTATAAAAAAGCCTTTAATAACTGAACCTAAACCCTTCCGATTTAGACTTAAGAAGTGTCATTGGAAAGGTATTTTCTCACCCTTTTTATTTCTTAGCTAATAAACTCATTCAAAGGCGGAAAGATAAAGGTAGGATGAACGAACGTCATTCAAAGTTGAATTAAGATGTGTTGGTATTTGAAAAAAAATGGGACACGAATAACCCATAGGTCTAAATCAGAATAGTT